ATCCCAATTATCCAAATATTATCTGGTGTTAATATCTCTGGGTATTCCTGAGTTAGCTGTTTGAGTAAACAAATACAATTCTTACAACACTGGTCGATTTAAAACGTGCAATACAACACATTAATAATACTATTTGCATAATTTACCTGGTGAAAATCAGTTTGTTTGTTGACTATCTTTTTGAGTGTCACACATGTCAATTCATTTGTTCTCCAATCTGCTATAAGTGTGCATCCATGGCGTAATAATGTCATCTGTTGTATGTTTGTCAATAGAGAGTATTCTATCCATTGTATATATGCATCATATATGTTCTTTGTATTACTCCATGACTCCATAATAAATGAATCCAATTAAGTGGTCGTGGTGCTTTACAATGAAAACAGAATGCATTTATCTTGGGGTTTAATTGCCTTGCACATGCCAGACATAATGCATGCCCATCATATTCTTTTATGAGACAGTACTTCTGTTTACTTGCATCATATGTAAATCTGATGGTAACCCAAACATCTGTGGTAAGAATATCTGGATACTCATCACATAACTAGTGGAAATAATACATAAAAATAAGTCAACAATTATTTAGACTATTCCAATAAACATGACGCATAAGTAAATGGTTTACCTCGGCAAAATATAAATCATGTGTCTCATCTGTTATTTCAAGTGGGATCAAATTAACACGTTCATAAGAAGGTGGCCATCAAAGTATACAATATATCTCCCATCAATACAATCGCGTGGAATCCACTCCAAATAGTGCTCATTTGCAGAGTTTGTTTGTAATTGAGATTTCTTAATAAACTCATCGAGTTGCTTATTGTTGCTAGTCCATCCATCGGATAATCGTTTATGTCCACAAATGCACCACACGGGACTACATCGGAGTATTCCACATGCAGAGCAGAATCCATATCGAGAGTAACAATGGTGAAAGTGTCGTATAGCAACCATATAATATTTATCACCACACTTGGTAAACCCCGTTATTAGTTTGTTGCGACCCTCAAGCCATATGGAATATCGTCTGAACTGACTAACATCATTATTGTACTTGTGTGTTGGAAGTGAGTATAATCTGGCAAACTCATTCACAAACGTTGGTGTACAGATTTCATCATTTCCTAATAATAAAAGCATTATCATCGTCGCATTCAGTGGACGCTTGTGAATTGCGTAATTAATGTTGTCAATTTGGCTTGACTCTATGTGGGTAAATTGCAAGTAAGGAATCCATTTAAGTTTATGTTTACTTTCTAAGGAAGATTGAATCAAGTCGTCAATTGCTTGATTTTGAATATCTTTAACGAACGACATAGTTTCGAATAAAAAAGGTTTCAAGCAACAATTTCGGAGAGATCATTCTCACAAACGTTTGTGACACTATTTTGTGGAATTGAAAACCAAGCCTTTTGTTACACTAAGAATGGATGCGGATAATTTGATGGCTTTACTACTCACTAGACGGTTATTCGCCCCTCGAGTTAATCGACTATTCCCTTCTGATATTAAATCGGAAGCGTATGGGGTATACTTGTATATATCAAATGTATGGTTTATCTTAAGCGAATAACACGGAGAATATTCACAGGGCAAGAAGCGACTGTTCCTAATCGATGTAGGGATTAGTGGTTCACAACTATATCGAATAATTTACCAGAGAACAAATATTAATAATGTGTTTCGAATTATTCATTTATTAAAAATTGAAAGTTAAAGTTAAATAACATGAACATTTAAGGGACATTAAGGAACGTGGTGAATTCTATCGGAAAGTCACGCTTCTTATAATCGAACTGCCGCTTTCGCCTATTTTTGACTACATGATTACTGCCTACTCTTTCTATATTAATCGATGAACTCAATGATTGTAGCTTATAAAATAACGACTTTTTGGCACTGCCTGTATCACTGTTACATCTGCTACGTATATTATGTGAGTGGCAATGCTGATGTGTGAAATGTTTGGCAGAAATTAGGGAGAAATATGCATCAAATTGATATTAGTCTCCACAACACCGACCGTAAATTTGATACTCGTCGAAATGTAATTGCCGTATACTACCGAGAATCATGAATAACCCATACCTATATATTGATCATGAATAAGTACCCCCAAGATTACTACCTGTATTGACTGTGTAATACTGTACACCCCAGTGATTACATATAAGTGCACGCTCATCGGGCGCGGCATCTGTGTGCACTTAGGGAGGGTGCTGGCAAAGAAAATTGGAAATTGTCACACAGATTGTTAGTTTTTTCTCTTTCTTAACAGTCACATTCTAAGTCAAACTAAATTTGATCACTTAGCACTGTAGTTTAAAACAAATTCCTTAAAGCGCAAGTTCAAGTTCTGGATACATATGTGTTTATGTCTCTTTGCCTGGGCTAACTGGCTCTGAAATATGTTGTCTTTTTAGATCCGAGGAACAGTAATAGTAAGTCCCCGTAGTTTCGACTCAATTGACGTATTCAGTTTATGTATTTTATTAGTATATGCATAACTACAAATGGTTTACTTTTGATAGTCCCTTGAAGGGCATCTCGTCAACGCTCTAGTGCGATAATTATTTTTTACTTGTTTTTCTTTGTTTGATTTGGGAAATTATGACTTAATTCTGGTTAAAACTTTTAATTAATTATACCATTGTAGCAAATATCTTGTATTTCATAACAGTGCAATTACGCGAATAATTGGCTGACATTTTTAAATTCCACGTGCGTACACTTATGGGTACAATTATAGTCCCTATAATTAATGGTCCTTTACTGTTGTGGAAATTGTTTAATAGATTCTATTATGAATAAGCACTCCCGACTGTGATAATTATACTTACCGGACCTTATTAAATCCTTTATAAAGATCATGCTATGTTAGTATTACTATAAATAAAGAGTATTATCTAAGATAATATTAGTAACAATATTTTTGGTAAAGATTGGAATTAGCGAGAATGGTGATATATTCTTAATCGGTCTAAAATTATTGCAAGGCAGGGCGCTCTGCGCCTGAACAACTATTCGATAATACTCGGCCCGTTTGGCACGGCATGAATAACGAATAAGAGCTAAGCAGGAGCATCGAGGTACTCTCGAGTATTTTAGACATTTAATTATTTTTTGTTCTGAATATTATATAGAATATACTATAAATATAACCAATAAAGTGTCGATAGAAAATATTTTCGAATTAAATAGAAATGGCATCTTCACCAAACATACAAGACAACACAAATTTGTAACCTCTGCTTGATTTACAACATTTTCCAGATGTAATACTGCAATACACAGGTAATCGGGTTATAATACATTGAAAAACAGAAACTGTGAGTTAAAAAGGCAACTTCAAGAGATTAGATCGCATTTGCATCACCGTCGTTATTTGAACGACACAATTGCAAATTTGTCGTCACCCGCCAAATGACGCGCGAATTTTTTCCCCAGCTATCTCAAATTACGACACAAACGTAAATTGTCGTCTCCTGAATAATACTAATACGAGCTTTGTCTGCCTCGCAAAAGTATTGTTAATTTTCCTCTGACCGATATGCAAGTTTCCCGGCTAAAAAGTTTAGCCAGGTTACTTACTACTCCTGCACGGCAACGCAAATATGAAGGCATCCCGGTCAAAATAATTATTTTGATTAGAAGAAAATATCCGTACGGGCTATGGAATGCGTAAAATTTTCTTTTGTAATACCTTGCGCTTCGGATCGATTTTTTTGTCGTCAACGATTTCTTGAATGACGACACAAACGTGAAGTCACCATCATTTGATTAGGAGTGGGACCCCAAAAAACGTCTGAATGATTACAGCGTATGACGCAAATGACAACGCAAATGTGATCCAGATTTTTTGGATGCACAGAACGTTGTCTAACTTTTCGTTTAAATTCAAAAGGTCTAGAGATTGAGAGGGCCAATCAGGAAGGAAAATGTGTATGAATACCAGAAGGCAATACATGCATCCGGGTTGGGAGAACAACGAACTGCGTGTCATAAGTATTGTTCAATTTAATAGTTTATGGCTACTACATGGACGGAGGCAGATGCAGTATGCATACAGAAATGGTCATATGGGATAAGATAAAAGAAAGTGGATATAACATAGTTATATTATATCCACATAGTCAAGGTTATTTCTCAGTTGACGAAAGATTATGTCTGAAACGTATATTAATCTAATAGAAAGCATGCCAATAGAATTCAGGCGTGTATTAAAAGCCAAGAATAGTATTCTGACAAATAGACAACTTGGGGTGAAATTTCAGTGAAAAAGGAAAATTTATGTCGGATGTGTGTAACATGTCCAATGTGTCATGTGTTAGATTGTGACGTGTTGTACGATCGCAATTTTATGTGTGTTGCATATTAAGTGTACTTCATTTTGAAAGTATGTAATAAAATTTTATTTGCTTTTCTATTGCCTATTATAATTACTATGCTTATCTGGCTCCCTCCTGCACTTCCTGCACCACAGGAGATCCATTACAATTATGAAACTTCACAGGATCGATTTCGACTCGCACCCTAATCTCAAGATTTATCTTTTGCATTTGCATTTAAGCCGACCCTGTTCGTCTCATTTCTGTTTCAGGTGAATATGCAAATGCCATATTACGTAACAAGTATTAATATTAATCACATGCACATGATCTTTGATGGGCGCATCTTCAAATTAAAATGGATAAAACAAATAATTACTCGCTCACTCATTATTTTGACATTTTATAGTTAGTGTTACGTCAGATGATGAACATTGGAACAGATACTTTCCAAATACAACATGTGCAATGAATTGACTCGCATGTGCGAGTTTAACATCCATTCGCGCAGCAGCGGGGTTGGCGTTGTTTTGTTTACCATGATTCTGCCTTTTTACCCCATACTTTTCGTCTGTTCAACGACGTCCTTGGATGTCTGTCTGTCTGTTTTCATGAGAAAGGAAGCTCGTTCATATCTTCCGTGACATTATTTCGAGAGTAAAAGAGAATATGAGCAAGGACAAAAGGCGAACGTATGGTTCGAGTACGTTGCCTGGAAGCATTCGTATCAGAGAGCTGGAAACCAAGGACTATGGTGCTGTGCAGAGGATACACGGCAGTTGCATGATGGAGTGAGTGTTCTTACGTTTTGCAATAACCAAACGAGAGAATATTGGATTGAATGTCTTCACGCTGCTCTTTATCTATTTTGCGAGTTTTGATTTCTTATTCACCCACTCTTGCTTGCTTTTCATTCGTTTAATAGCAATATCCCATATGCAGTGTCTTACACGATGCAACATCGGTACATCCTCTTTCTATGGGCGTTTCTCACTTACGCTACGGTGAATTACCCGGCCAATGGTCTTCCGGTGGTGATTCTAATACTCTGTGGCTGGGGAGTATTCATCTTTCTGAACGTTCGTAAAATAATAACCCATGCCACAATCATCGAAGCTCGCCGCGTGCTTTTCAGCGATCTTGTAAATATTCTCGATCATTACAACATTACGCAATCAGAAGCAATATCTACAGATACGAATGACGACGGAGATGGTTTGCATGGACCGGAATCACTATCTAGATTCTGGGTAGCCATGGACAAAGATGCTGGGAACAGAGTCGTTGGATTTGTGGCGGTGATTGAAAGAGAGGAAGAAACCAAATTGGCAGTAATTGACCGCGAACCGAATGTCCTTTATTTATGTGTACTCTCCGAATATAGAGGTCGTGGTATTGCGACGGCATTGTTGGACCATGCCGCCCGAGATATGTGTAAGCGAGGTGTGAAGTGGATATCATGTGTAGTGACTACGTGGCAATATCCTGCGTTGAACATATTTTACAAGTTTGGTTTTCGGGAAGTTGCACGTGCAACAGTGTTTTATGGATTTGCTGAGCATGTGGAGATGAGATTGGATATCGAAGAGTGGGATCGGTGTCGTAAGGCAAGAAGAAGAAAAATAGATGAATGAGGATTATGTGTATTGTGTATAGTTGGAGGTCGACGTATGTAATTAACAATAGATAAAGTGTAATTTTAATGATTTACTACTAAGTTATGGTTTTTATTTATTTGTTTTAATTAAGATGTCTGTAATCTTACAGACTTGAGATAGCTCAATATTATTATGGGCACTCGATGAAATTAGTATCGTATTAAATATTATTATCTTTAAATAGTGCAGTATTTGACAAGTTGAACAATGGCAGTTGTCTCAAGTAAAGGTTTATACAGTCTTGCTTCAAGCTCACGCAGTGTCTTCTCAGACTAGCCTGTGTGCATTCAATAACACTTTATTATTGGGAGATGGATTCGTCCGTCCATATCGTAATCGTTTTAATCGCATAAAATACTCTTTAAGACTAAATTTTGTCTAATCGCATAAAGTACTCTTAATAATTGAATAACAATAGAAAGACTAAATTCTGTATTTACTTAACAGAAACAATAACAAGCAAGAGACAAGGAATTTGCCTATGAATTATGTAAATATAATGCTACTTTTGAGCAAGAATGGCATCTGCCACCAATTGTTAACATTGATCCTTCCGATGGGCTCCGAGTCTTCCAGTTCACCTTCGTGGTGATGATGATGATGATGATGATGATGATGATGATGACCACGCTCTTTACGCGTTTCTCTTTCGCTTCTTTGGAATACAGTTTCAAAGTATCCCTTGTACGACGGAACCGTCACGCCTTCTTCTTCTTTTGCCGCATCCAAATTTCGACGATACGTAATCCATTCGTTATTCGACCGGAGTTTCGTTGTCGGCGTAGGCGTCGAGTTGGGTCGATGAGTTCTTATAGCGGCAGGGCCATCCTTAGAGGAGGGTTATGAAGAAGTTGTTGCATTTCGTTTTTTTTCGTAATAAACAAGCAAATACTCGAGTATAAATTAGAGAGTCCAGGTGATGAAGTATTCGCAAGAGGCTGATATAGTTTTTTTGTTTGACTTATTTTTCTCATCGATCCGACATCGTTGGCTTTATGGATTACTGGGCATTGTAATCAATATATCGCTATATAGTATTGTCGTGCATATATCTCTAGCGTTCCACCCAAGAAAGAAAAGAAGAGAGGAGGAAAAGGAGGTGGAGACTCCAACATGCTGCTTCCTCTGGATGGTGCATACCCGCACGAGGCGTCCATTGATCAGTAAGGCATTATTGGAATGTGGGCGGCGACGTTTTTGCTATGTATACAGTACATAAGTGGGAAACGAAAAAAAAAAAGGGGGGAAGGGGAGAGGATTATATTTTGTGTAAATATTTGTGTTTACTGGGGTTAAACTTTTTTAGTCACGAGCATGAGCGTGTGTTTCAGAAACGTAACAAAGGCAGCAGCGATACCATACTGACAAACGAATTATTATTGTCTGAGCTTCTATTATTAGAACGGATTCAACCCTTCAATATCAATAGTTAACAATCTCATGGTAGTCATCCCCCATTCTACTACCTCACTGACTTAGAGCGTGGGAGCGACTGTATATGTACTGTGATTTCTGGAGTACTGAAATTACCGTAGTACTCCTGTAGTAGTAGGGGGTACACCGGATCAGGGTACTTATACTGTCGGAGAAGTAGTTACAAGCGATAATATTTGGGAATAGTAATAGACACAAATAGATCGTAAATTTCATCTCATTCAATGTACATTCACCGCGATGTATTTTCGATGAACTTTGACCATTGATTATTGTCAATGCAATTGACTTAATAATAATGATAATAACATTATGTTAAGCGTGTACTATGAAAACTACCTACTTTCTTGCCAAAGCCTAAGCTTTGATTTCAAAGACAAGAATGCATACCAAAAATCCCAAGTAACGCTCTGTTTTCGAGCGTGTGTGATCGTCAGCAATTTTTATTCTACAACGGTTCTGTAGGAAATAATTCATAAATTCCCTTAGTACTAGTCGCTGCTGGTAAGCAGAGAGGAGAGATATAAACGTATGGAGCTTGGCGTTCAGTAAAATTGTTAGAATTGCATTCAATGAGAGCAAAAACAGACACAAGGTACAAGTCTGAACATACTATTGGCCAGTACTATGATGAAAATTCTGACATATTAATATGTCATTGCGAAATCGATGTAAGAAATATTTTTACATTTGTTATGCATCCATAAACATAAATGGGCAGGACAGTTTTTCAATAAACTACTTTGCAGACTGCATGTCTGTCTGCTGTTTCAGGCTGGTAGTCAAAGATCTATAGATAATTTCTTTGTATTAACTCACTTTACTACTGCAGGGTCAAAACAAATAGAGTTTTTTTGGAGTTTGCAAACAAAGAGACAAACCATTCATATGGAAAGCAGGGAAAGAGTGCAATTGTATCAAGTAAGTCATCTATCGATAACATATTTGAGGTTAACAGGTTGCTATTTTAACAAACCTCTTAACAATGTTTAATTAGAACATACTAATACTAATACTGCAGGAGCAACTCTTACTCGGTCTCAAAGAGGTAGTTAAGCTCACTTGATACTGATCTTGATTTTTAGCATACTGAAAGTTTATTTTAGTAATAGCATTCAATTGATTGTAGCAAAGATATTTGGATGGTCAAATGCATTCCTATTCCTTGTAAAGGATGATTTGAAATTAAGCTGCCCTGTCTACTCTATGTGCCCAACGTCTGAGTCACAAAGTTATTACCTGGCTGAGTGGCTGTTGCACACCCATAACTCTTTCTTACTTCCTAGTCCACTTCCTGATGTCATTTTTCAGCTTTTTCTATTCGTCCTCAGCCAGCCAACAGTTTCTCCACTCCTTTACTACGTACCCCTCGTTTTTTCGCGTTTGTTTTGCTTGCATCAATGTGATATTGATGTACGGATTGATCACAGGCTTAATCAATGACGTTACAATAATAATCACATCACACACAATAAACCAACATCGCAAAAAAAAAAAAGTTTAAATTTTTGGAGTAATTATTAGCTAAATGTTTAACGTTAATAATACAGGAGCCTTATAAGACAATGACGTTACAATCAATAACGAACCGTAACAACATTTATTTGTTACCGAATTGAAGGATGAAAAAAACTATTGCAATTCAACGAAGAAATGTAAACTAAAAATAAAGAAGATAGTGGGATTTAAATTTGCACCGGAATATATCGTACTCATTAATAATTTTGGATCCGAGTATTTTTTTTTTTTCTCAATGCATTCAAGAAAGCGCATTCTACAATAAAAATAATAAAACCGTGCTTACAAGAATCGAATTATTTTTGATACTTTGGGTACAATTAGTGAAATGCAGTGCAAAGCCTATATTAATATGGGTCAAACTAAGACTTGTAGGCTATGACTTGGTTGTGCTTCACTATCTTGAACCCTGATACTTTTTTCACATGTGATATCTGCATATGTTGTAAGCTGCTTCTGGTTAGCTCATGTTATCATTGTGGCAAGATGTAAGGCTGGTAACCCTTAAAAGGTTAGCAGTATAGCCTGAATTGTTGAATTTTGTGCTGATCAAATATCCTCTGATATGTAATTGCTATGACAATATTTGGCGATACTTCATACTATATATACAACTATGCCCACCATCCATGCTGAGCACTTTTAACCTATCATACGGCATCCATAACCTGGAAGAATACATATATCTTTTTGGTTAGAGGAAACGGAGCGACTAATCGTCTCGATTCAAGCGTAGTAATGATGAGATTTGATTGATAAGCAATTTGCCCCAAATTCTTACGCATAGGGGTTGGTATCACTCACACTGCGGTAGTGTGTGTAAAGTATGTATCTAGTAAGGTGTGCTGTCGACTTTTGAGTCTTATTTGATCCGTTCTTGATGTATAGAGGCTGACATCACACGGAAGTATTCTTCGAAGAGGTCTTGTGGATAACCATGTCAAGTGAATGCCGTCTCCATATTTTCTTCTGAATTGATCCTCGTCTGTGTTAGTAAACAATGATATTTTAGTCATTTAGTCTCACAATGCTGTATACAAAGGCTTTGTTAATGGTATGGTTGTTCCGGCGTACAGGATACGATGTCTAGTCACGTATTAGATTGTTAACACGATGCGGCGCCCGCCCATAAGATTTTAGATGTTGAACGGATATCGTCTTTGGATAGGCGTTAAATCTCCCCATCGTAACGGATAATCTTGTTATTTAGTGGAACAAACAAGTAAGATATTGACGCATTATTTGTCGTATAGGATTGTGGCCTCGCATTACGAAACGTCCCTACGAATGATAGCTTTATAAGTATTCTTGACGTTTATCTATTACAAAAAGTGTGGTCATTGTATAAACTTTGGTCTGAAGCGGATATCAATTTTGTGTTTTCAACTATCTTGTGTAATCCAAGAGCAAACAATGAGACGCCATAACATTACTGTTATTAGTCATATTCGTTTTGCACACATGTAATTGGACTTTGTGGGAAAAGGTGTTCAGCAACGAATGCTTTTCCGACCATTCATTACAGCGGTGGTGTGTGAAACGAGCGCTTTGCATACTAAGAAGAAAAACTTTGTGTAATTTCAAATACTTGGAGAAGTTATTGGGTTGTTCTCAGAAACGTTAGTCTTCAGCATATGGTTTCATTCCTGCTTGATGTGTATGTCAACACTTCTGCTTTGACTGTTTTAAGGTCATGAAAAGACTGAATGATGGACAAAGTGAATGCTCATTTCCTCTTGAATGACAGGTTATTGCATTGCTGATTTGTGTTATCTTGGAATTTCAATTTGTTTGAGCAAAAACCTGAAATTATTGGGAAAAATAAACTTTTTTTCCTATATGAAACAATAATAATTATTATAAGCTTTCAGAAAACATGTCTCACGTGAAGCTCTAGAAAGACCTACCCATGTCAATGTTTCTTATTATTAACTTCAAACGTATGCTAGAGAGGTAAGAGGAACAAAGGCAAGCAAATAATTAAAAAAAGTAAGAACATACGCAAATGATTTCCTAAAGAACTGCCTTGATTATTTAACAAACTCTGTGCAACTAATTTAGATAATATATTTTTTCCCCAGATAACAAAATAATTAAAATTTAGGCATTTGGTAAGGAAAGTATGTAGCGGGAATGTACGAATAAGAATGCTCGAGACAGATGTTTAAAAGTTGGTCGTGATAAAGAAGTTGTTAGTTCGGCAATTGTCGTAATTGGCAAGCATATTTTAATGTTTACTTGACACTCGAATTGGTTGGCTTACCATAGTAATAGTTTCACTTTTTAATTTGAATTTGTTGATTGAAGGTTTTTAAACGGTGGCGTTGGTAGGGTTGAGCCCCTGAAATGGTTCTGTGGCGCGCCATGCTCACTCTATTCAGTCGAAATATGTCCATATTAATACCATAACTGTACCGAAATTTACTAGTAATAATGTTACTGCCATTAATAATAACTGGCACTTTCCTTTTGTTCAATAATAAAGACGTAAATAAAGTATTGTCATTATTACAATAAACAAATAGTCGTTCAGGAATAAGATAATGCAATCGGCCTATTTGTTAATTCCGACGCACTCTTCCCATAAGAATCAAACATCGATCAAATCATTCTTATTTCTGATGACGTATTAGTATGTATATATATATATATATTTCTTCAACAAAACTTACACTTGACAAAAAACCAGTCAACAAAGCATTCGTATTTAAGGTAAGTAGAACTCTGGACAACCTACTTCTACACAACTCAAACATAGACACATATACCGGATACGTATTTAGGCTGGATATACGTCTTCGTACTGTTGCATACTCCGCCCACTTGACATTCTCATCACAACTCAATTACGCCTCTCTGTTCTCCAGATCAATCTAACAATGATGGCGAGTTCACATACCTTCCAGCCAGACGACTCACTCCCCCATCCGCCAACTACACTCCAACAACAGCAACTATCCACGAAACAAGCAGTAATATACAACAAGTCAGGTACAAAATGCAGGAACATTGTCAAAGAACAACAAACACCACTATCCCCCACTTGCTCTCCTCCATGCAAAGATTCAGACTTCCTACCCATTCAACTTCAACAGCCGGAATTGAATGGAACAACAAAACGGAAGAAAAAGAAGAAAGCAAAAAGAAAACACTCTCATACAGACAACGATCACTCTCACACTTACCTACAACAGACAGAGAAGCACAACAACGTTGTTCTATCCGCCGACGACCACGAGGAGCTAGAAGAAGATTGCGAAGACTTTTCGGACGATGACGGCTATGATCCAGAAGCTCCAGAAATACCTTTTCCTCGTCGAGATTCCGCTTCTGCCATAAACGGTGACAGTTATCAACCACCGCAACCTGGCTCAAAGCGAAAAAAGAAAAGGAAGAAGAACAAGAATAATAGTAGCATAAATGATATAACTACAAGTAATCATCATAACAATAATCACAAACCTCGCAAAGATGGTATCTGGAACACCAATAATCGCGAAGAACGTCAACGCATAAGAGAATTCTGGTTACAGCTAGGCGAAGAGGAAAGAAGGAGTTTACTTAAAGTAGAAAAAGAAGCCGTATTAAGTAAGGTGAAGAAAGAGAAGCGTCCATGTTCTTGTACGATGTGTGGGCGTAAAAGGTTTGTATTATTGACGATCTCTTGGAACAAGGTGAAGGATGTCATTTAGCGAACAGAGAACTTCACGAGCGATGAGCTAAAAGGCTGGGATTATGTGGGAATGCATAATAGGGATAGGAAACCTGAATAGCAGAAGTGACTATTGGGAGATGAAAGATATTAGGCAGAAGTATCGTAAAGACTAGTTCGGGAAAAGTACATATCTTTTTCTTTCTCTTTGTAAACAACACTTTGTTTCTATTTAATGATGCTAAGTATGGACATACTATGAAATGATATTGTCAATATCAACGCGGAAAGGTAGTGCTTACTTAGCAAATTCAACGTGATCGTGCGCCGAAAAGGATCCTTATCAATGCGTAGTAAACGCTTTATAATCTTTCTATAGACAACTGGTATATTCATTGGTCATAAATTCTTCACCTAGGGTATCACTGATCCTTGAGGATGAACAATTCACCAGAACGTATATTAGTTTCAAATACTGTTAGACAATCTCCGATAGTGATTGGCACGGTACTTGGTTCCATCATCAATTGTTAGACGTTCGATTAATTTATTTCCTTTCTCAACACATCTAGAACCGTCATACAGGAAGAACTTGAAGCTCTCTATGATGCATACTGCGAAGATTTAGAACAATGCGCTAATCAGCAACAACAACAAGCCCTACAACAGCAGCAGCAGCAGCAACAGCAACAACAACGGCAACAATTCCCCTCATCTACCATGGATTATCGAAATGGAAATGGTGATTATGAAGATGATGAGGAAGACGATGAAGAGGAATGCGATGAAGAGGAAGAAGAATATGATGGTAGCTCACATGGAAGTGAAACACGAAGAGAAATCTTTGGATTCGCAAATAGCTTAACTGCAAAAGGTAAGTTTGCTCTGCAAAAAAAATACGGAATTAGTAGCAATAGTCGGTTGGAATGGGTTGAAGAAGGGGAAGGCAATGTATTGAGACCGAAGCAATATAAGAAAAGGGCGAGAATATGAATCGCAAGTACAATTGTAAAGATAAAGGAGGAAAGCTAAACCGTCAATCTTTACGTCAAGATCTTCTCGTGGCTACATATATCCTCCCACGCAATCCATTTTCCCCTCCCCTTCTCTACTCCCCCTTCTCTCTCTTTCCTTAGCCACTCCATGCATCTGAGCTCAATACATTATCGCGGAGCAAGGCCGGGAGAGTACTTGTAACTAGTTCCTTCACGGATAATAAACAACAGTTACTGATATCTATGCACTGGCTTAGGAGGCATCTTGACCGTGGCTGATGATCTCCTTATGAACGACGGAAAGAAGTTTCTGGAAATGATGGAACGCCTGGCTGAACATCGTACGCAGCGCGAGGAGGAGGACCAGCAGCGTGAGGACGAGGAAGATGATGATGACTATGATGATTATGACGATGATGAAAATGAGGAGGTATGGAGCTTGTATCGGGATACCTGAATTTAGTCGTATTGTAGGTCCAATTTTGAAGATTGTAGATAAAAGTTTCACGACTGTTATAATAACCGCTGTATTTGGGTCTGTAGGAGGTAGCGACTGAACAACAACGTATGGAACAGAGTAAAAAAATGTTTCAAGTCTTTGCGGCCGAAATGTTTGGACAACGCGTTTTAGCTGCTTACAAAGAAAAGGTTTGTCATATATTGGAATATGAAAATATGAATCCATCATGCAGCATACGGGAATGATTTTATTATCAATTTCCAATAGTATTTCATCTCATGGTTATTGTAAATGTTATTAACAGATATAATTTTATTGTTCTCATCATCAAATATTAGGTGGCTCAAGAACGACAGAAAAGGTTCTTGGAAGAACTAGAAGAAGAAAATCGCCTAAAGGAAGAACGTGAACTTAAGAAACTAAAAGAAAAAGAGAGGAAGAAGGATAAAAAAAGGTATGTGAAAAAAGTATCTTATATCAACTTACTACTTGATCGTTACTCAAATAATTGACATCGAAAAACCGCAGAGCTATGAAAATGCAAAAGATAGAAGAACGTCAACGAAAGGAACAGGAACGAGCCGCAGAGGAAGCTGCTCAGCGTGCAGAACGTGAGCGTAAAGCTGAGGAGGAACGTAAAAGACGTGAGGATGAACGTCAACGCAAAGAAGCTGAACGCAGAGCCCGAGAAGAGGAGCGACTACGAAAAGAAGAAGAAAGGAGGCGGAAAGCAAGAGAAGAAAAGGAGCGGGAGGAACGTCGCCGTAAAGAACAGGAAGCGAAGGAGCGTAAAGAGCGTGAAGAACGTGAACGAAAAGAACGTGAAGAAAGAGCTCGGAAAGAGCAAGAGGAAAGAGAGCGCAATAGGCGGGAGGAGGAGGAAAGGGAACGAAAGTTAAAAGCAGAGAAAGAAAAGGAGGAGAAAGAGCGTAAAGAGCGAGATGCGCGGATGCGTAAAGAGTTAGAGGAACGAGAGAAGCGAGAACAGGAAGAGAGAGAACGAAAGGAGAGAGAAGAGAGACAGCGTGCTGTCTCTTTACCACCTGCAAGAACTTTACCACAACAAACGACGATACAGTCGCAACAGTTTGATCGTAAACAGCGACCTATTCCTCCTCCCATAGGTCAACCATCAATAACACCAACAACTGCTCAACAAAATATATCTTCCAAGCCAAATATACCGAATGGTGGAATACCTGGATGGTATCCCTCATTCGAATCTCAACAAGCATTGAACCAACAACACGTTCAGCAACATTCAATCCCACAGCATTCCATAAATCATCCACCTCTTATACCTCCGCACACACCGCATACACCGCATACACCTCATACGCCACATACTCCGCATACGCCACATACTCCGCACACTCCGCATACGCCTCACACACCTACTCACCTCTTCAGTCCTACATCACCACAGTCGCCTTACGGCCCTCAACCAACGTCAGGTTTAAATGGACATATTCCTTTGTCGGGTGAATTAATAAATGAGGGATATACAAACAATAAGAAAGTAGTAAGCCCAAATCTACAACAAACGAACACTATGTCGGGGATAAATCCCAATCCATCATTATTTGCATCAGGTCTCCCACCGATGGGTCTTGGGGTGCATCCTCATCAACACGGCCCACCAGTAATGCAATCACATCACCAGCAACTTCGTCAGCCGATGCCTAATCCACGCGGATATAACCCCATTGTTCCTAATCCTCATATTCCCATTCAGCAATCTAATGTAGCATCGTCCAATCTAGCATTATTGAATGAGCCAGTGGTGATTCCGTCGGCTGTGCCGTCAGTTGCGTCTAATCCTCCCGCACCTTTTGCCCCAATCCCTTTTGGTGCTCAGAATCCATTAACTACACAAACATTCGATCTTGGTACTCAAGTACGCCCACAACAGAATTTAGTGAGTCCAGGAGTGATGTCTAATATAATATCTAATCCATTACCAATTGGATCTCGTCGGTTGAGTACTCCCCATGATGACTCACACGTGATTCAACAAAGTGTATCATCCAAGGCAATACAAAGACCAGCACCTATACAACGACCAAGGAAAGGATCCTTAGGTTCGATTGGTACGCAAGCTGAACGTACTATTTCTCCGCCACCTGGGTTTGGTGGAGTAGTCGGGCCCAGCGCGTTAAGGAGTGATGAAGAGCCTATTGCACCGTTATCAAGAAGGCAGAGTGCTGTTACTAATAGTCCGCCGCAGTCTTATTTCTCTAATTCTTTGTTCGAGTCTGACTGGAGGTTAGTATACCGGGCAAAAGTTTCCGGAATTTCTACTGACCAATCAAAACGGACAATCACGTGATAGTTTCATTCTTCCAGCACATATTAACTATAAATAAATTTTTATATGAAATTTTAATTCAGCTTTTCATGACGTTTTTAATGTTGTAATTATAACGGAACTAGAACGCCTTCAATTCAGTTACAGCAATCAACCTGCTTGGCATACTGTTTGAATTAATTATTTTAGTGGATCATTATTAGATATAGGTCCCAATATTAACAATCACTGCACCAAATTTGGTCCAATGTAACGGAACTTTTTTTTTAATGTAATTGCTAGAAATCGTGTATTTTTACAGGAAAGAGCATGTAAAAATCTTAATAAGTCGATTGCTAAAATAAAAAGGTCGAAAAAAGTAGTTTATAGAAACTATTTCTTTGTAAAGACTTTGTCTCCTCTGATCTTTCCGAATAAATTGTATGATCTTCCGAATAAATACCATAATAATAAATAAAGCTTTCTCCGTCTCCCGTGTATCTATTAGCACCCGTTTCGGATTGATATTTACAGATTGTAATAATTTCACAAAGGTTGTCTAAAGCCAAAAATCGGATAGTTGGAGAATACCAGACAATGAAATCATGCTGATTAACTGGCCGTTTCTATTTAAATAGATTGCTAGTAGCTTTGTGAAATGGGTACCAATACGTTGATACATTCGAACATGAAATAAATATAAGATTCACTGTCAATATTACAATGCGGGTAACTGTGTCACTTCACAATCTCGCCGCCCTCACAATCTTTCTTACGTCTCCGTGACTCTGGTCGCCATTCAATGGCAGTGATCGGTCAACCTCCTTGATACTCAACCAGAACAATGCACAATTCGACATCCAATCAACGTATTCGTCGCATACCCGACAGTCTCTATGGTAATATCAGGACATTTCGATATATCAAGAAATCTTAATTTCCCCGCTAAATGTTTACATAACTCTTTAATACTGCCATCATTGATATATCGACAATACTTCAAAGTCAACTTGGTTAGATTGGTACATTTTCCAGCCAATGACACGATAGTCTCGTCACTCACTGCCCAATCTCTCACGTCCAGTTCGCTCAAGGTATTTCCAAGATTCGTTCCAATAGCATCAACGACTCTATCCAGAATGTCATCCTCTGAATTAATATCAACGCCGCCAATGACAAGAACGCTCATATTTCTACACGCTTTGATCAATTCAATAATAGATCTTAACTCGGCACGAATAACATCGAGCCTGAATTCGACCAAATTAGGACAATGTTCGGCTAAAGCTCTAATACCCTCCTCTACCGAATCGGCTGCTCCGCATGGAAGCATTACCAACTTTTTCAAATTCCTGTTACAATGTTTAGCAAGGGCTATGATAGCTTCCTCGGTTACTTTGGTCTCGGAAAGATTGACCTCGGAAAACATTTGTCCAAATATAAATGTATCGAAAGTAGTGTCAATTACGCCTAAACATTCACTCAGATCCAGACTCCGCAAGTTGGCAAAGTTCATTCCGTCCATAACATCAAGTATAGAAACTATATTAATCCTCAGATCAGTTATCTTGGCAATGACCCCAGCTGACAGCGTAGTCAGCAGTACTCGAGGAGATGTGGTCACTCTAATACAAAACTCTTTCAGATACCCATCTTCTTGTGCCTCAATTACAGACGATAATGATGCAGCCGAACACGCCTTGACCATGGATCTGAATTCTTGCAAACGTCGACAATTTTTAGCTATTAGGTCCAATATCTCATTGGTAGCCTCGTATTTTAACAAATCCAGACGACATAAATTGGGAAATCTGCTAATAACTGCTTTCAATATCTCGGTATTCACATGCCAACAACTAACAAATGTCTCTACATTAGAACAGCGCTGGGCGAACGCCTTTGACAATTCCGTAAACGAGTCTTGAATCATATTCGTCATACCAGCAAATGGAACAAGCTCCAAACATTCGGCCTCGATAAATCTGTAAATGATGGGTAAATTGATGTCTCGAGTATAAGCAATATAATCGAGCAAACTGGAAACTGGCGTGGGTATAGAAGAGACTATGGCAGCAACAGCTTTATCACAAGTTACGGTTTGAGCTGCACGGGTCATGACAAACTCAAGAAGCGGTTTATCCAGACAATTAATATACGTCCTTATAAGCAACTTTCCTCGTGGATCATCATCTTTTCTTATCTCTCCTTCCTCTTCGTCTGCACCAAAAAAGCGCCATGGATTCTTGTAGAGTATTGGTGCTGTAAGACGTGCAAATAGACGATTTGTACGTATACATCTATTCAAAGCATCAGGGTCATCGAAAAGATGAGATATTATTTCATGAATACATTCTACGGGAAGTGGTGTGAAACCGGACATTGAATAGAGGGTAATCAATTCCGACTGAAGGATCGAGAATGGGTTGGGATCGTTCTTTATAGGTTAGGCTCTCAGCACGTGATGACATTGACTAAGTGGCATGCTAACTTGGGTAATATATATGCTTTTTTGGTTACGTAATAATAGTCACCTGGGCAGACGCAGTACAATGAATTCGAGTCCATACTTAGTATAGTGTCAGGATAGGAGATTGCGCTGAATTGCCATGTTCAAGTAAGTACATACTTAATTCAGGGACAGGAATGAGCAAATGCTTTGAAAATTCCCTGCGTATGATGTATCATAAACTGTAAAATTTAGCTCGCTTGAATGTCTCTAGCAATTTATCAAATACCAAATGTTTTATATGCGCAAGTGTTCGGCCACAAAAATCAAAAAATTCATATTTCGATACTTTTCTAACCGAATTCTGTAATTGTTTTTGGGTTTCAGAACCATCAGAATGTGTTTATATAATTTTTGTTGTGTGATCGCTCTAGAAAATGCAAAAGCTTTTATGGCATAATGAGGCTGATATCATGCGCGTTTATTGACAGTATAACTTGTAATTCGACCCCATATTCCAAGGGACACGTCTGGTGAGCATAATAAAAAATCACACAAATCTATTAGAAACACGTGGAGATATGGATTTTTGATGTTCATGTTCGAATAAGCGATATACTGTTTTGATATATTTTATGTGTTTTAAAAACAAATACAGAATATTGGTGTCGATATCCGACCGAACTGAAATTTTTACAGGTGATCAGGATTTGTGATACGCTACGCAAGGAAAATTTCAAAGCGTCTACCAGCAGCGACGGATGACATCTCGATAAAATATGTTTATCTATTAGTCTCGTGATATCCGAGTAAGTAATTGTTTGAAATAAGAATTACAATTTATGAGAAAAAAAAATATATTTATTAATAAAAAACAGAACAGTTTATACAACAAAATATGCATTTTACAAGTTTAATATTGGCGAATCTACAGTTTCGAAAATAGCACACATTGATTGGCTCACAATTGACATGCATTGTCAAAACGAGAATCAACATGCAAATATCCAAAGCTAGCACTTGCTCTTTGGGTTGCGGAAGTCTTACCTTCAAGCAGAAAACAAGCTGTTCTGGATGACTATTTCCAAGCAAGGCATTCATATTATCCAAATGACTAAAGTTTTGATATTATAGAACTTTCTTATATCGCGAAAGTTCGTTAAAAGAAATTGTCCGACCTAACGACTTTCTTATAGCGGGTTTACTACAAGTGAGTCTCGATATAACAACATCTTGTTATGACAAACAGAAAGCGTAGAACAAAAAACCTATATTGCTTAGTTGTCGTATATAAGTTAATTTTCGATAAGAGAATTGGAACCGAGCGTACTATTTTTTGTTAGCTTTTTTATTAAGTTTAACGTCCAATAATATAGGTAGTCTTAGCTTGTGGCTAATGTGGCTTTAAATCACAAGACTGCGTATTTTTTTAGGCTATTTGTTTTTCCTGATATAAAAAGAGATAGTACGACATCTTATTGTCAAAGCGCCAGCAGGTGTATAAATTATTCGCGAAAGGATATTGGATAGTTATAAAAAGGCAAGTAATTGGGCTACAAATGGTTACTAGGAATGTTAAGCAAAAGAAGGGTTATGCTATATAGCTATACTTTTTTCTTACCTTGTATGACTAGATTAATATTAAAACGATCTATATTATGTTGTAAATGGAACAATGCCAACCAATTCGGCAATCTTCTTCTTTAAGTCATCCTGTTTAATTTGTTTCATATTGTCTCGGCATTACCTCACTTGCGCGTTAAAATACGGCGCAACTGCGTGATGAATATATGAACGTAATGCCACGTATGGACTGACTTTATCTAGTCGGAGCCGGATTTTGTAGCGGCGCCAGGGAGATTGGTTATTTGTATTTAAGTGCCAAGCGATCGAGCGAAGGTCACTGGTCGCTGTGGAATCAAGTTAAGAAAATTGCCAAGCTCTAAAAATTAGGACTATCAAACCACATGCCATTCCTTACCATCTTAAAACAACCTCACGATCAAATCGTGATTTGGGATTTGCTTACTACTCTCTTCAAAAATAGCATTCAATATCATGCTCCCCAACCGCAACTCCGCCAATGATAATTAAAGGGATAAATTGATTGCCATCTAGAGCCTTTACCGCTGCCGTGGAATTCGAAGACATGTTAAAAGAATCAAACCGTACACGTGATGTGCGAGAAGCGTAAAGTACTAGTCTCCGTCGGTCAGTCTCAAGAAGTGTTAGGAGCACATTTAGTTGCTGCTTATTTCTAATACTTACTGTGTTACTTTTTAGCGGTTGTCACACTAACGTAGAATCGCGTAATCATAATTATAATGTAGGGAATTAATGTGATTTACCAATAAAAAGAATAAAGAACTTTAAAGAACTTGTAATGTTACATCCACTTATTACATTGTTTCTCTTTAATTCCTCCAATGACGGAAGCCAGGTAGAGAACCGTCTCATATTTATGTAATAGCAACAATAAACTTTGGTAACCGTTTCGAGTTACTAAATTAGCGGCGTGATGAGAAAAAAGTAAAATGTTACACACGGATCGGTATTAGTGTTATGGATGGACTAGCAACAATAAGCAACTCGATGAGTTTATTAAGAATTCTCAATTACAAACAAACTCACCAAATCATGCCTATTTGGAATGGATTTCATTTGATTGTATTGATTATGGGGAATATGGGGTATACTTACGTGGTCTACCTACTCCTTATCGTGCATTTGTTAAATTGATTCCACTTGAGATAACAGACGAGACGCATGATTTATATTATGCTGAGGTAAACCATTTACTTATGCGTCATGTTTATTGAATAGTTTAAATAATTATTGACTTATTATTGTGCATCGTTTCCACTAGTTATGTGATGAGCATCCAGATACGGATGTTTGGGTTACCATCGGATTCACATATGATATACGTAAACGAAAGTATTGTCTAATGAAACGTGAGGATGGATTATGTTTGGCATGTACACGGTACTTAACACCTAAGATAAATGCATTCTGTTATTGGTGTAAAGCACCAAGACCTGTCGATTGGACTACGGGAAACAAGTCATTGGATTCATTTATTATGGAGTCGTGGAGTAATATGAATAGTGAATACGATGCATATATACAATGGATAGAGTATTCTCTATTGATGAATGTACGAGACATGACCTCGTTACGCCATGGATGCACACATATAGCGACAATAAATGAATCAACACGAGTGACACTCAAGCAGATAGTAATAGGTGATACTAATACTCAGTCGCTTGATTTTCATCAGGTAAATTATTTCACGTGTAAAATGTAAACAGTATTATTAACGTGTGTATCGCACGTTTAAATCGACCAATGTTATAACGTTGTATTTGTTTACTCAAACAGCTAACCAAGGAATACCCCGAAATATTAACGCCCGAGAATATCTGGATAATTGGGATCACTCAGGAGCCATCTACTCGGGAATATTATTTAGTTTTCTACCACAACGTACATGCACTATTGGACGAATTTATACAAAAGAATGAATGGGTAGAGTACATGCAATATAGCGACTTTTACGAACTCAAAGATATCGGATCTGGTGGCTATGGAACAGTTTATACTGCCAAATATAAAGGAAATGTGTATACACATGGAAAAGAAACTGTTGTACTCAAACGGTTTAATATTAAGAGTTTTGATGAAATGCCGGAATTATTTATTTCCGAGGTAAGCAATGATTGGTAGTACTAATTAAAGTGATCTTTAATTTGACACTATTTATTTTATCTAATAGATCAGAAATCATGCCAAGTGTGCACGTGAAGATGATGGTCCATTCCTTAAAGTTTATGGAGTGACACAAGACCCAGAAACAAAAGAGTACATGATTGTTATGCAATATGCTAACAATGGTAGTCTTTTGTCTTATTTGGATAAAAATATTAACAACTTGACATGGAGTGATAAATCAGGTATATTATATTATGTCTGATTAGTATTCATGGTGCAGGATTAGTGCATTGTGATCTTCATGGCGGAAACATTGTTTCACATGATAGTATACCATTCATATGCGATCTTGGTCTCTCACGATCAGTGAATTCACGCGAGTCAGATTCAACCATTCGAGGCGTTTTACCCTTTATTGCACCGGAAGTCTTCCATACTCGCAAATTTACTCAAGAATCAGACGTGTATTCTTTTGGTATTATTATGCATTTGATGGCCACTGGTGAACCACCTTTTAGAGATAGGCAGTTCGATAGAGGTTTAGTATGCGACATTATGGGCGGACTACGACCACCGATGCCTGATTCAGCACCAGAGGAATACAAGCAACTTGCCGAGTGGTGTTGTAATGCTGATCCTGATAAGCGTCCAGATGCATATGCACTTCGGATGGATATTCACGAGCTTATTAAAGAGGATGGTAATGTGTGGAATACTACTTATCATAATAATGTAAAACCTTTATCACGTCTCGAAAAGGAGAGTAAATATTCTAGTACGCTCTTGCCTACTGGAAATCTGCCTAAACCAAGAAATAGCTATGATATGGATTCAGCTGCAGGTATGGTTACATGTTGATACAAATGAAGTCAATTTACAATGTTAACACCGTCCTTTCTTATAATTTAGACACTCAAACTCTTTTTGAATAAATTTGTAATTCACGGGGGCTATTTACAGTTATTATTATACGAGTTTTATTCAAAGGTTCGAATTATGCAATGTGCTTCCATGTATGTCAATATGATCGAGTTAACAAGATGCCGAATAAATTCGTGCACGTTGACTGTTAGCGATCATTTGACTATGTAAGAAAATATGATACATTATTTATTAAAAAGTAAATCTTGAGACTAATGTTTATGAAATTAGTAATGAGTTTGATCGATGCTGTAGCAGCATTCGAGCTCGGTTCGAAACATTTCAGCACCAGCCGGATG